TTCTGGGCTAGGAGCCCGGCCAGCGCCCGCGGCGGGGGCTTCCCACGGATGCTGCGCGCAGCAGAGATGCTCTCGGCAGGAGGGGGGTGCTGAGCAAGCAGCCAGCTGCAGCCCCCTCTTGCAGGGTGCCCCAATTTCATCTCTGACAGCCTAATGCCAGGCAGGGGAAGGGGAAAGCACACGGCCAGTGGCACGGGTGGGTGCTGCTGGGCACCAGTCCCCGGGGAACAGTGGGAGCTGGGATGCTAGGGGGGCAGTGCAGGCACCGTGCCCACCATGCGCTCACCAGGACAGGCAGGAAAGGTGCCTGCATCTCTCAGACAAGTGGAGATGCTGAGACCCCCAAGCAGGTTAGGCCTGATGGTATCAGGGCTCTGCCATCACCCCCAGGCTCCCCCTTCCTCTAATGTTGCTAATCCCTGGCTGTGAGTCCTCCTGTCAGCAGGGACCGCGTGGTGCGTAAAAGCTCTGGGGATGCGTGGGGCCGTCTCAGCCAAAAGTTCCCTGCTCCATCAGCAGCCTAAGGAAAAAAAAAAAAACAGCCCCAAATCCATCTGTTTTTTTTTTTTTTTTTTTTTTTTTTGCCTCTGAAGCCATTTCCAGCTTCCCTACGCTTCCAGCTCCTCGCTGCTTTGTGGGAGTGACGGGTCCCCTAAGCCTGCCTGGTGCGGTGACGGTCCGCCAAGACTGCACGTCGAGCTCGCGGTTAGCAGCCACTGTGCCAGGAAAGCTCCGAGCAGGCACGAGCTCCAGCAGCCCTGGAGGCACGGCTGGGGGGCCAGCAGAGTGTGCAACCCCCCCCAGCTCCCACCGCAGCCTGGGGGTGAGGAACGGGCACAGCAGCACCCTGCGAGCGGGGTGAACAAGGCAAGCTTGGCAGCCTTGGCTTGAGACGCTCCAAAATCCAGCCCAGCTCCATCCAAGCCCTTGAAGAACTCCCTCCCGGTCGCAGCCCCAGCCCGTGCAGCTCCATCAGCCTTATCTGCGCGGCGCAGGCAGCAGCAGGGATCTTCCCCAGGTGCTGGAGACGTGGCACTGGCAGTAGAGGAGCGGGGACGTCCCCACTGCTGCTCCCGCTCCCCTTCCTCCTCCTCCTCTGCCTCCAGGGCCAGGCAGGGGCAGCACCGCCCCGGCCCCCCTCGTGTCCTGCACCCCTCCAGGGTAGCAGCCCCGTTCAGGCCCCCAAACACCACCCCCAGGGCTGTTTCCCTGCGCCTTTTTCCTCCTCGAGCCAGGGTCCGTGTCTGATTCCCCCTCTCCGAGAGTTTTACCAATTAAGATATCAATTTAGATAAATGGTGGGATCGGAGCAGATTTGTGGTGCGGTTGCACCAATTGAGCAAATGCGGCTTGCTAGAACACAGAGCTGCTAACAAGGTTCTGTAATTTAGCTGTCCAAGGGAATGAACTTCTGATTAAAAAAGCTCAGCTGAAATCAAGCTCCTCCGGAGCACCGCGGACGGGAGCTGCCCGAGGGAACCCGAGGGAGTCCCAGCCCCGGGGCCAGACGCGCGCTCAGCGTCCCCAGCACTTGGCTCTGCTCCAGCTGCCTGGACGGACCCATCACCAGGACAGACAGACAGACCACAAAACCTTCTGATGGACTGAGTCGTGCTGGATACTGGGGTGATTGGTATCAGCTGCAGTGATAGGAGAGGCTTCCCTGCACCCCGAGGTGCCCTGCTCGCCCCAGAGGTGCCCAAAGCGCACCCAAAGCGCACCCCATGCTCCAAGCCCCACGTTTGGGGCTCAGCCCTGAAGCCAGGTCCTGCCTCAAGCTCCGACCTGACAAATCCCTAAGCTCGTGAAGGGAAAGGATCGCTGCGAACACCCAGCCTTTGATGCTGCCCACAAGCACGTGCTCCCAAAAACGGCACCCCAGCCGTGCCAAGGAGCTGCCCCGTGTCTCGGTCCAGACCCTGGCATCGTCCCCGTGCTGCCGCAGCACCGGCACCACACCTGCAGACCCAGCACCTGGGCAGCGGTGGGAGATGCATCTTCATCTGAATACATTACGTTCCTCGACAGAGAGGAGCAATAGAGATATTAAATGCTATCAGCTCCCGCGCTCAGGATTCATTTCGCGCCGGGTGATGAAGGCGGAAGATGAAAGGCTGTAGGGTTTTATTACATTGAATTTTCAGTTTGTCATTTCCCATCCACTCGATCAGGTGCCTAGGGACCAATTTGCATTCCGGGCGATGGAGACGGATCTCCCCAGCGGAGCAGCACTAGCTACTTGCTGCCTACTACGGGGTGCACGTACCCGGACCCAGGGCAGGGACAAGGAGCCCAGGTGAGCCGCAACGGGGCCGCACGCACCTGCCCAAAGACAACGCCAGCAGCTCTGCCGTGAGCTGCCAGACCCATGCACCACGCTGGGAACTCGTGCAGTCCTTGTAAAACAACCTGAAATCAGTCCAAAATATGCATTTTTTCAGGCTCCTTCTTTATAAAGGCAGTTGGGATGGGGTCTGTGACACCAGAAGCACCCTGCGCCCTGCTCATGTGGAGCTGTGCCATGTGCCAGCCCCCAGAGCACGGTGCATGAGCCCAGCACCTGCCCAGCGGAGGTGGAGAGGGGCGCACAGACCCCCCCCAGTAAGGGCTGGGCTTGGTTGGCCGGGGCTGTTCTGGTTTGCTGTTTAAATTCTAAAGGGAAATCTGGAAGGGGAGGGAGGCAAACATTTCACCGCTGGCATTCACAGGTAATTAAGCAGAGCCGGAGATGAAAATGCAGGAGGACCTGAAGAAGGATGAGAAGGAAAAGGAAAGAAATGAGGTTTAACGCGACCACCCACGAGCCAGCGTGGCAGAAGGCGCTCCCTGCAGGGCACAGCAGCAGCCTCGGGCAGCCCAGCACAGCGTGGGGGGCACGGTGGCACGAGAGACCCAATGCTCTCCTGGGGGGGCTGCCCGAGCAAGGGGGGCAGGCAAAAATGCGCTGCGAGGATGCTCTCCAGGCACGGGGCAGCTCCTCTGCCAACCACCTTCAGAGGAAGGGGCCCAGGAGCTGCAGTGCCACGGCTCAGCCCCCGTGGGGACGCGCTCTGGAGCCACCAGCACAGGATGGGGACGTGCGGGGACACCACGCAGGCAGCGGGCACTGCGCGCCCTGGGGTTACGCCGGCACCGCCGCGCTCATAGCACCACACAATCACACACGGCGGGGGGGTTTGGCTGCAGGATGCCAGCACCTGCAATCTCAGGATGCTATTTAATGATGCAGCTGCTTCCAAACACCCCACCGCTTCCACCAGCCGAGCGTCTCAAAGCAGAAGCCAGCAGCAGGCGAGTGGATTCGGGGCGGCGTGGCACCGGCAGCGGGCTGGTGGCCCAGCCCCAACCACTGCTCAGGCTGCTGCTGCAGAGATGCAGCAGGCAGAAAGAGGCCAAATAATGGGCAGAAAGGGTCGGGAACCCCCCAGATCCCACATTCTGGGCATCCCCGGGGTACGCCTGTCCAACACGGTGGGGCCGGTGATGCGCCCAGGCAGGCACAGAGAACGCGGCTGCCTGTGCTGCGGGGACACCACTCCCAAAGGAGCAACGCTTCCAGGAGCAGAGCGGGCAGCGAGGAGCCTCTCTGCAGTCTCCTTGGAGACCGTGACCACTGCAAATGATCCGTGCTCCCCCCGCAGCACGGCCGCTCTGGGGCAGCCCCCCGCTGGCACCGGTGCCCGGCCCCGCGCCCTCCTCCCCGCCGTGCAGCGCGCCGCATCTCCGGTCCACCCAGCTCTGACGCCAAAGGAACAGCAGGAGGAACGGGCTAATCTGGGAAGTTATTCATAATTCAGTGTGTACAAAACAAGGCAGCAGCCGAGGAGGCAGGAATTTCCAAATTATGGTTCCCACAGCAACCCGAGCTCGGTCCCCGCAGCCGTGCGCGGCTCCATGCGCTCGGGGGCTCCCGGCGCCGCTGCGGCCACGCAAAATGCCACGTTGTGTGCGAGCCGGTGCTGCGTGGGGAGAAGCAGCCCTGGAAAAGGCAAGCTTTCACGCAATCCTGCACGAAGGCTGGCTTTCTGCTCCCAGCTGGAAACCCCTCCTCTCGCTGGCGGGCTGGAGCAGCCCTCGCCATCTCGGGAGGCGCGGGATGACGGGGACGGTTCCGCCGCAGGCAAGGCAGGCACCCGGTGGGCAGCTCAGCAGCACGTGAGCGCATCCACCGCTGGAGGATGGGGGTTTAAAAAAAAAGCAGCCAGCAGGTAAATCCCTGCCCCACGGGGCTCTTGGAGCGCTTCAGAGCCAGCGCCACCAGGCAGCACCTGGCTCCTGTCCCTGCACGACGGGTGCCAGCCCCGCCAGCGGGTGCCCCCGTCCCCTCTGCCCACTTTTCTGGAGGGGGACAGCGGAGATGGAACCAACGCCCTGGCTCCTGTCCCAGCACCAGGAGTGTGGTTACGCAGAGGCTCAGCGTGCGGCCGCAGCATACAAATGGCAGGGGTTATTTGGGGCACTTACACTCACGGTCCTGTCGTTCACTCGCAGGACGCGGAAACCCAGCGCAGAGCAGACCGAGGCGCGCACAAACATCGCAGCATTTCTGCATTTCTGCTTTTCTCCTGACACTTTGGGGCCAGGCTGCATGGGGACCCCAACCCCATCAAGAGACACCAGCAGCTCTCGTTTTCCCCACACAAGCACTAACACAGCCCCATACAGAGCTCCCTCCAACACTGTGGGGCCGCAGAAAGCAGCCAAGCACTCACTGAAGGGCAGGGAGGACAAGGAAAACCAAAGAGGTGTGCAACCCACACACTCCAGCTGCCCACAGGCTCCTGCTTCGCCCCCTAGCAATGGGCAGGCAGCAGGGAAGCAGGACAGGGATGGTCACTGTGATGGGAAAGCCCAATTCCCATCTCCTGAAACCCTCAAGAGAGAGGACAGCGCTGAGCAGGAGCTCACAGGGACGGGAATCCACCCGGGGACGGTCACAGACACCGGTGACGCTGCCACAGACGCCCCCTCCCACCCCAACGCCACCTCCCCACGGTCACCTGAGTGCTGTCACCCTCCAGCCGGGGGGGTCGGATGCTGGACAGATGAATGGTTTTGTGGTCCCCAGAGTTCAGCTTCACCACGATGGCGTCGGCGTTCAGCACCTGCATCACCTGGGGAGGGAGAGAGCGCAGCGGTGAGCGGCGTCCCTACAGGCACCACGACCCCAAACAGCACCAGCACAGGGCACGTTCCCAACCCACCCCAGCTCCAGGGGCTGCCATCCAGCGTGGAAGGAGCAGCTCTGAGCCTTGCTCGGGTAGCCAAGGCTCACCGGGGCAAAAGCAGCTCACCAGTGCGTCCACCATCCTGCGCCCCCTGCGCGCCCGGTGCCAGCAGCTGGAGCAGCCAGGGCACGACTGGGTTTAGCTGAGGAGCAGGGGAAGGAGCAACGAGGGAACGGAGGAGCCCTGCAGACTCCTCACAGCCTTGGGGATTAGATCTATTTTTCACACGACAAGTTTCTCTTGCTGCAAACGTTGCTCCCAACAAGGTTTCCAATTTTCCAGAGCCGTGCCGAGCGCCGTTCACCTCCGTGGTGCCCGCAGCGGTGCGGCACAGGGGAGGAACAGCAGCCCCCAACGCACAGCATCCATCCGATGGCACGGTGCCACCGTGAGCCCCGAGAGCAGGGGACAACGTGGGGTGCGTCCTGCAGGGGGGGGATCAGGTCCCACAGGGAGCAAACCTCACAGAAAGCTCGGGTGCGCGCATCAGACCCGGGACCGGAGAGCAGCGAGCGCAGGCACAGACCTCAGCGGCTCAGCTGGTGGCTCTGCAGGCACTCAGGGAGCAAATTAATCAGAGCAACTGGTGGCAGAGGCAGGCAGCACCGTGCAATTAGACGGGATGGGGCAGGAGGCTCCCAGCTTGCTGTTGGGATCATTTTGGTTTTCATGAACCCAGGCTCCCCAGCCTGGACCAGGAGCGTCTCCAAGAGCAGGATTTGAGCCACTGGGGCTCTCCCACCGCCACCATCACCCCAGCAGGACCCTCACAAATTCTCCCTGACCTCCTGCTGGTACCCGTGAGGCTCGCCCATGCCCCGTGTGCCCGTCCCGGACACCCCAGACCCCAGACCCCTGGCCAGACCCAGCAGGGAGCTTAGCAAGGACCGTGTCCCTTCCCCGCCTGCAGCGCTTTTTGCCCCAGCAGGCACATCAGTCCCTCCCCATGCGCTTAGTCAAAGGGATAACAGGATTATAGGAATTAGAATTAAAACAGACACTAAGGATTTCCAGCGCTCCTCGGCACAGCAAAGCCCTCGGGGGGGGGACATCCCTGCCCCCAGCCTCCGCCTCTCCGGGGAGGCAGATCCGGAGGTTTTGCAGGCAGAGCAGAGCCCACAGCTGTCTGCACGCTAAAGGGAGCGATCACAGCTCGTGCTTCGGGGCATTCAGGGGTCGGGCAGGGGTCCCAGCCTCCCCGCCCGGGTTACACGGGGCTGGGGAAGAGCCCCCGGTGGGGGCTGCAGGAGCGGGGGCTCCCTGTAAGGGCAGGAGGAGCTGGGTGACCCCACGTGGGTGCTCCCCAAACCCCTCTGCCCGGTGGCATCCCCTCCCCGTGGGCACCGATCTCACAGAGCAAGGGCAGGCCTCCCCCCGCCCTCACCCTACAGGGCAAAGCCCCCCCCTCCTGCAGCCCCCGCCGGGCCGAGGAGACTGGCAGCAAAACCCCACGGCTCAGCACAGCTCCGGCACGGGGCCATTTTTCTCGCTCACAATTTCTCAGCTTGCTGCGGACAGCTTCCTTTATCCAATATTTATTGTGGCTTCACCTGCCTCGGAAAGGCACTTTGATAAACGGATTGAAAGGGATTTTTTTTTTTTTAAAAATCTCTGCAGCTGCTGCTCGAGGAGCCTGCGTGCCGCGGTGCCGCTCACCCCCCCCCCAGACCCAGCCTTCCCCCAGCTCACAGCCCCCCCAGGGGATCAGGGGCACCTCTCCAAGCCTGGGCATCCTCCTCCTCTCACCCCTCCACCTGTGCCCGAAGGTGAAGGCAGCAGGCAGTGACTATTTTTCTCACATGAGAAGTTTCCCTGGCTGCAAGCGCTGCTCCCAACAAGGTTTCCAATTTTCCAAGCCAGAGCCTTGCAACACCCTGGGCGCAGGGACCGGCACCGACGCGGCTGCTGGGGGCACCGCAGGGGGCGAGGAGGGGACGGGAAGGGGTGGCTGCACAGGGCACCCTTTGGGGACCCCCTCCTGGTCTCCGAAGCGCTGCTGCCTCCTCCTTGCACCGTTTTGCCCTGGCTGCGTGCTGGGGAACAGAGACCCCATTCACGGCTCTCCCAGCTGCTGTGGGGCCACGCAGCAGCAGCCTGGCAGGTCCCCAGGGCTCCCCTCCCCGCGCTAACGAGGGCAGCTCGTTATGGCTGGGCTCCTGGGAGGGGGCTCGGGGACAGGCCACGGGGCAGGGGCTGTCCCCACGGGTGGGGGTTGAGCGCTGCTCCGTGCCCAGGCACGGTGATTTTTTGGGGAGCCAGAGCCCCGCGTGCACAGCACCGTCCCCCTACCCCGGTTGCCCAAACGGGGAAGCGCTCTTGGAGAGGTTTTGGCTTGCTTTCCCAGTCAACTCCAGCAGGAAAGCAGCTCCCCAGACTTGCTTTGGCAGATTCCGCCGAGATTTGAGATGATTTGGCCACGATCAAGGGGCTAAGCGTTTCGGAAAGGGAATAAAAAAAAAATAAAAATAAAACCCACAAGGCTGGGAGCTCATCCACGAACGCCTTCTCCGTTTTTCTCCATTTTGCAGAAAGGCTGGAGCCGATCCACAGCGCAAGGCAGGGCACGACGCACGCAGCCAGCCTGCTGGGGCCCCCCCCCCCCGAGGGATGCCCGGGGTCACCGTGCGCAGCCCCCACCCGGGTGCACGGGGGGACACGCGGCTCCAGCAGCGCAGTGACAGCTCCCCGGGCACCCAGCGCCCCAGGCGAGCGCTGCTGTCAGCCCTCTCCTCTTCCTCAGCATCCCCAGCCCCTCGCTCGGGGGGGGGGAGCTGATCCTGCCCCCAGGGGTTGGGGAGGGGGCAGAATCCTCCCCGAGCCCTCGCAGCCCCGGGAGCCGCAGAGGAAGAGAGAAAACCGAGCTGCAAACAGCTTTTGGCACGGCCTCGCTGCGAGCGTGATGCGTTCAGCTCCAAGCAACGCTGTCCCAAATTCTCGGGTGCTCTAAGACAAGCTGACGTAGGAAATTCTGAAGAGAGCCTCCTGTCTCTTCAGATTTTTATCCCACCTCTTTTCTTCTCGCCACTCGCTCCCCCGTTTATCGGCGGCGAGTCCGCAGCTGGGGCCGAGATTTCGGCCCTGCCCGAACCGAGCCCCCTGCTCAGAGCACCCCCCAATGCTCCACACAGCAGCAGGACCCCAAAATCAGCCACAGCCACGTCGTGCCCACTGCTCAGCACCACGGGGGCAGGTTGGGACCCTCCCCTTGTGCCCACCACCCACCCCCAGGAGCGGGCACGTCCCTTCTGCCACCCCGGCGCAGCCAAGCCAAAGCGACTCATCCACCACCTCTGCACCCCACAGAGCCCCCCCCGGGGGAATATGAGGATTGATGGGTGTTTATGGCCCCCTTCCACGCAGCCCCCCGGGCGCTGGGAGGATTGATGGGTGTTTATGGCCCCTTGCGTGCGGCACCGGGCGCGCGCCCAAGCCGCGTTGAAGCTCCCTGCGCTCCCGAGCGCGCAGGCATTTGTCCTGATTTTCCCTGTCACTTGCAATTCTCGGGGAGGGAAAAGGACCAAAAATTGACACTGCAAAAACGACATCGCCCAGGGGGGGCTCTGGCTGACTGCTCCCTAAATGCTGATTTGCGCCTTCCTGCATAAGCAGCAGTTTTTAAGCACAGGCAGAGACTTTCTGCTGCCTCTCCCCTGGAGGCAGGGGGCACGACGCCGTGTCCGGGGCTCCTCCTGCGGAGCGAGCGCAGCCCAAATGCACCAGAGCCGTGCTCCTGGGGAGGAATTCATCCCCCCCCCCGGGGCTGCAGAAAGCTGGGGGGGTGAGTGGGGGGCACAAGGGGCTGTGCCCAGGACCTGGGGCAATCCTGGGTGCTCCCCTCCCAGCGACCGGACACCCCCTGTGCTTGCCCATCCAAGCCCAGGGAGAGGGCTCGGACCCCCGGGGGGGGATGCGCTGCCCCCCCTACCCCACCCCCAGCTATGGGGGCACCCCCACACCTCCAGCATCATCTTCGCCGCTTCGCCCCACAGCAATGCACCCAGGGGGGCTCAGGATGAGAGCCCTGCCTGCTGCAGCCCCCCCCGGCAGCTCCCCATTTCGCACGTGAGCCGCTCACCAAAATGACGGGCATGTTGGAAATGCCAGGAGCATCCATCCGCCCCCCCCCTCCCCGCAAGCTGCTGAGCAAAGCATGACTAATGCCCCCCGCGTCTGGTCCTGGCGCGGGCTGCGTCTGCAGCCTCTGCCAGCGCAGGAGCAGCGCTGCGGAGCCGCCAGCGCCAACACACGGCGCTCCCCTTGCCCTGCACGGGGGGCACTGGGCGCTCACCGGCACCGTGCCACCTGGGGCAGGGTCCCCCCCCCACTGTGGGGCTTCTCCTCCCTGCCAGGGGCTCACCTCCGTGTTTGGGGAGGGGTCTTGCAAGCCAGGCTCAGGCTGTGCCCCCGAGGAGCCCCCCTTGGGGTCGGCACTCAGGACACTTTCACTGCTCAGAAGGGAAGAGCACAGCCAAGCTTTTGGCCCCCCCCAAGGCGAGGAAGTGCTCAGGACCTCTGCTGTCACCACGGCACCGTGGCCAGGCACAGCCCCGCACCCCGCATCACCCCCTAATTCCTCCTAATTCCACCCCAAAACAAGGGGAGGCAGGACACGGGGACACCCTGCTCTCCAGGGGGGGGGGGAACACGGAGCTGGTGCCCAGGAGGTGGCCGCGATGGGGGGCCGTGACCCAGCAGCCGCCGTTCCGCGGGGGCTCAGCGCGCTTCCCAAAAAACCCAACTGCGCATTTCCCAGGGCTCCCAGCCCAGCTTGCAGCCCGGCGGCTGGGCGAGCCGGCAGCACCACCTAGCGGGGCTCAGCACCCGGCTCAGCACCCCCTCAGCTCGGGGTTCCCTGCTGCAGCACCCCCGATGTGATGCTCCCCCCGTGGGACGTGCGCCCAGGGCCAGGCACGGTGCCCGGATGGCCCCGCTCCACTGCCAAAAGCACCCAAACCTCACCGGGGAAGGGGTGAGCACGGCTTTAGGATGGAGTTCCCACACCAGGGATAAAGGGAAGGGGCACGGAGCCACCGTGATGGGAAGGGGAAGCTCTGCTGAGCCCTGTCCCCTGCAGCCAGGGGGTCCCTGCGGTACCCAAGGGTGCCCAGCAGCCTGTCCCCAGCCCGCAGCCCCCGACCCTCTGCCCTGTTCCACCTCTCCCCACCCCAAAAGCACGGTGCAGGGACCATGGGCTGCACGGATGCCATCAAGCCCTGGCTCTGATCCACGGAGGGCAGCCCAAGCCTGGGGGGCACCCCGGTGGTCCACGGTGGGGAATTGAAGCCCAGCTTTGGGGTTTTTCCGACCACATGCAGGTACCCGGCACCCATCCCTGCCCTGCTCCGCCAGGCACTCACCTTGGCCACAAACTGCTTGTCCTTCTGGTCCAGGTTGGCCGTGGGGGCCACGTAGTCCCTCCAAATCCTCAGCTTGCGCTCCTTGGCGAACCTGGTGGGGTGTGGGAGACACCCGGTGACACCCGGGCAGGGGTCCCCAGCAGGGAGACGGTGGCACCGGGCACAAAGCTGCCACCTTTATTCTATTCCAAAGCGCATCAGCAAGCGGCCGAGGGCTTCTCCAAGACACAGCCTGCCTGTGCCACGGCTCGGTGACACCAGGGACACCCGATGGACGTGGATGGGGATGGGGCCAGCACCCCCGTGCGCCCGCTGGCAGCCCCGGGCTCACCTTTCGGCCGCGCGCAGCTTGTCGGCCCCGCGGGTGTAGACGGCGATGGACCAGTCCACGCAGCGGGCGAAGCCCTCCTTCAGCAGCAGCTCGGTGATGTTGCCGTTCTGCAGACGGGGAGGGGGGGGTGCACGCTCACACACGGGGCCCCCACGGCATCGGGATTTCTCCTGCCCTGACCCCCCGGTGCCGAGTCCTGCGCAGCCCCTTCGCCGTCACGGGGTCCCCAGTGCCCAAAAACGGAGCAAGGCCTGGCCACGGCACCCCGAGGGATATCAAAGGACCCCAAAAGGCCACAGGGCTCTGCTCAAATGTGCCCTCCTCCATCCCCTGGCAGAGCGCACAGCTCCCAGCCCTGCGGGGCTGCTCCGAGCCCCACGGAGGCACCAGGACCTCGCAGCGAGCTCCAGCAGGGGATAAAGAGCAACCCCGCAGCCCCCAGCGCCCCCCTCTCCCGCCCCTCACCGCCCCCACTTGCCGGGTGCAGGATGGTGCCCAGGATGTTCTGGTTGTGGCAGCTCTCCAGCACGATCTGCACGTCCCTCTGCAGCAGCCGCGACTCCGTGAAAAACTTCGCCTCGGCCGCAAACGGCTCGGGGACCTCCGGGGCGTCCGCCTCCCGCTTGAACGTGGGGCACTGCGGCACAGGGACACACGGTCAGGGCACGGGCGGGATCCCACAGCACGAGCTGGGCCCCAAAAAACTCGGCAAGGGGGAGAGCATCACCCACAGAGACGGGATCACGGCACTGCGGGGCACCGTGGCACGGAGCTGTGCCGTGAGACCGGGCACAGAGCTTGGCCAGCCCCAAAAACCCCATGCCCAGAAGTCAGGAGGCTCTAAAGGGGTCTGATGTGTGCTCCAGCCCATCCTCCCTGCTGAGGCACCTTGGGCAGTCCCTGCTTGCTCAGGAAATTGGGGTTAAAATGGGTGCTCACAGAGGGCTGACGGGGCAGGAGCTGGCAGAGCTGCCAGGGACGGACGGGTCCCGGCAGCAGCGGGGCCGTGGGGAGGACACAGCAGCTCCACGGGCACCCCACGGGGCCTCTCCCTGTGCTGGCTCCCCAGGAAAAGTGGAGAGGAGCCACGAGCACAAAACTCAGGCTAGGCTCAGCATCCCAGAAGTGGAGGAGGAAAACCCCAAGTGCCTCGAGATGTGAGCAGGGATGTGTGCACAGCGAAGCTCCGCGGCCGCTCCGTGCTTACGCAGCCCTTTACCCGCCCCAGCAAACATTGCCAGGAGCAAACCAGGGCACGGAAACAAACTCCCAGCGCAGTCCTGCTGAGGATGGCAAGGAAAACGGCAAGGTTCAAACGGAAAGGGGAAAAAAATTTAAAAAATAATAAAAAAAATGACTGGTGCTGCAGCAAAGGGCGCGCCCAGAGCGCACGGAGCAGCAGCCCCCAGCACCAGGGGGCACAGGGATGTCCCCAGCTGCCCCCAAAGCCCCCCACAACGCAGCCACACAGGGGCTGAGCCCTCCTGGTGGGATGGGGCCATCCCTCCCCCAGCTGCCTGGGACCCTCCCAGGGCATCCCCCACCAGGCTGGTGCCTGCTGACCCCAAGTGTCCCCATCCCGCAGTGACAGCCCCACAACGGTGCGCGCACCCCAGGGGCTGTGCCAAGCACGGTGCCAAGGGACACCCGATGGCCGGGGGAGCAGAGGGTGTGGGTGAGGCCCCTCGGAGGTGCCAAGAGCACCGAGGTGACAGCGAGCACGATAAGCAGGCAGGGGACAGCAGCAGCCAAACCTCACCTTGATCCCCGAGAGCATGACGGTGACCAGGTAGTAGTCCGGGAGCAGGAGGGCTCTCACCACGCTGCCATCCCGGACGTGCTCTATGATGGCTGCAGGACGAGAGCAGAGGTTGGTGCTGGCCACGGAGGGGCTCAGGAGAAGCTGCAGAGCCAGGGCTGCCCCCCTCCCTCCCCACGGCCACGTGTCACCGCACTGTGAGCGCCGTGCTCGCACAAAGCCAAGAAGAGCATCGCAGCAGTGCCATGCGTGCAGGTTTGGGGACAGGCTGGTCCCAAAAGCCACTTACAGGCCAGCCACAAAACCCCAGAGCAGGCAGGGAGGCGCAGCCCCAGCCACACCACCACGTCCCTGTGTCCCCACGGCCACCAGCTCACCATTGACCGGCTTCTGGTGCATGGAGTCCACGAAGTGCCGGGGGTTCTCGATGGTGTACTTGAGGTCCCGGATGGTGTGGGAGCCCGTGCCCTCGCTCCACATCCCCTTTTTGGCACTCTTAGCCTGCTCCTCCAGCTCCGCCAGCCTGCTCTGCTCAGGGCTGCAAGGAGGGGGGACAGAAACCAGGTCAGGGCAGCGCCACGGCGCTCAGCGGGCACGGGGACAAGCAGGCAGGATGCTGGCAGGTCCTGCATGTTTTATCCCCGGGGACATCCATCTCTCAGGTGCTTTTCTGAATGTTTTAGCACTCTGAACACTCAGGTCTAGGGAGGGCGCAGCCAGGGTGAGCCATGGTTTATGCTGCTGCCAGCAGTGCTCCGTAAATCGAAGCCTCTCCAGCACCCAGGTGGCCAAATACAGCCCAGCACCAGGTTTGGGAGCGAGGGCCGTGGAGCTGAGGCTGTGCCAGGGGCTCACCGGGAGCACAAACAGCCCGGGGCGAGCAGCAGGAGGCCTCCGAAGCCAGGAGGCAGCAGCAGGCATCTCTCCACGCCGAGGGGACCGAGGGCACAGCAGCTCCCCGGCACCCCCAGGGCTCCCCCAGCACCTCCAGCAGCCTCCTCTGCCTGCACCTGGGAAGCTGAGGATGGAAGCTCCTTGTGCACCCGTTAATTAACGCATCCTTTGAATTAGGAGAGCAGCAACAAGCCCCAGGCAGGGTTTAATTGCAGGAAGCTGGGTCCTGTGGGGATGGTGGCACACCAGCAGATCCGCACAGACCGGGGTGGCCGCATGTCCTGCACCCCCCAGCCTCGCAGCAGGCGGCTGCTGGAGCAGAGGGGACAAAGCCCGGCGAGCCCGAGGCCACCAGAAGGTCCCCACGGCACAGGTCCCCTGGCACGAGCACCACAACCCTGAGCACAGCATGGGGCACGTCCCTGATGTCCCTCATAGCCCCGTGCCACCTCCCAGGGCCAGGCTCACCACATGCGTCACAGCAGAGCCCTTGGTGCACCCAGCACGGGGGGACGCAGGGTGCCCATGGCTCACCCCGACCATGCTACAGCTGTGCCTTAATTCCTGGGGGTCACGCAGACCCTACAGGCCCAGGAAGGGGTCACGAAGGTGTTAGGGGGTGGCTGGGCACAGGGACAGGGACTGTGTCCCCGGACAGACAGGGAGCAGGACCCGACAGCGCTCGGGGCTCCTGCAGCGGGGAGCCCGGGCGCAAAGCACCCCGTCCCTGCCCTTGGCAGCGCACGCTGTTTACTCCGTGTACCTGTTTACAGGCTGTGCGACTGAAAACACTGCATGGAAAGCACCCAAGTGTGCCAGGAACAGTTTTAGGAAGCGACACGGGCGAGCTTCCAGCCCAGCAGGCACAGGATGGAAATAGCGTCCCGCCGGTATTTATAGCGCCGGCGCAGCAACCCTCCAACAACGGCCCCCGCGGGGCTGCCGGCACGGTGGGCACGGCCAGGCTTCTCCCAGCACCAAACTGGGACCCCTCTGGTGCCACCAATTCCCAGCAGAGCCAGGATAAAGCCACGGCTCCGAGGCTCAGCCCCGTGCACCCAGCACGGGGGGCGCCCCGCTGCCGGGAACCCAACGGCGGAGCCCCGCGGCGCGGAGCCGCTTCCCGGGGCTGGAGGCACGGCCACGTACGTACTTGTTGGCTCGGATCCCTTCCCGGCGGGAGGCCAGTCCTTCTGCCACCAGGGACTCGGCGATGTTCTCGCCGCTCGTGTCTGTGGGAAGAGGAGAGGCGTCAGAGGAGGCACGCGGAGGGCGCACGGCACCGCGCGGAGAGCCCGGCACCGCGGTGATTTCGCTGAGCGGGGAGGGAAGAGGGGGGCCAGGCCACGAGGCAGGCTCTGAGCGTGGTCTGGGCTCTGTGACGGGCTGCCATCGGGGTCTGGAGGCACCCACCCCATGGTATTTGGGTGGGCTGTGAGACCACCCCCAGCACCACGCGGGGAGGGAGCCCCCGGTCCCCCCATATGGGCTCACGGAGATCAGAGCCTCGAGGGCAGACCCCAACCCACCTGCACACCCTAATAACCACGCCACCCCGCAGCACAACCCGTGGCTGCCTTGCACCAAGTGCCCCACAGCAGCTCCTCCGTGCCCCAAAACCCACGCACGGCGCAGAGCTCCCCTGGGACAGCGCTTCCCAGGGGCAGGGGTCCCTAACTGGTGCCCAACCCCGCATCCAGATGGGTTTGGAGACCCCCAGGAGGAGACCTGGCCAGGAGCTGGACCCGATGATCCTCAGGGGTCCCTTCCAAGGTGGGATGTTCAATCCTATGACCCCCCTCCCAGCACCCCTGCACACTTTTCCTGGGCACAGGGGGCTGCAGCTTTGCTCTCCCCCACCCCAAGCCTACAAAGACACCGGGATTGTGGCAGCCCCAATCCCCTCACATCGGGGATTACCCCCCCTGCACCTCACCCAGCACCTCCACCTTCTCCCAGCTTTTGGGGAAAGCTCCGTGTGCCCACAAATGTCCCCAAGGAGATGCGCTCCGGGACCCCCAGCAGTGTCCCACCTCGACGCCCCCCGTCCTGGGGCACGGTGACCCCCCCCCCAGCACCGCTGCCGAGGAAGCTGCTGCAGCGCTTCCATATTAATTGCACTTAAACCTTGACAAACTCCATCAGGAAACATTTTATGCTTCATTTCTCACCGCAGCGGCGTGACAGGCTGGGATTTAACAATGAGGACGACACCTACACGGGAGGCTCAGCATTAAAAAAACCCCTTCAAGTGGCAGACAACGAGGCTGCAGATGACTGAAACAAGAGCTCTTCGACTGCTCGTGGTGTCACCCAACAACAACCCCCCCTTCCAGGAGTTATTTGTTGCAGGGAACACGACCACATCCAGATTTTGGTGCTGAGACGAGTGTCCCATGCGGAGGGGCCGGCTGCGCACACCACCCGGATGGGAAGCAGCAGCTCTCCGAAGGATGCTCGCCCTGCACGCACACCCCCAGGGGCTCCTGGTGCCCTCCAGCTTCAGGCAGGCTCAGGAACAACTCAATATTGACCCAGGTACCTGTGCTTTGGGCTCACCTGGCACCGTTTGGGCACAGGGGACGCCCTCCCCAAATGCGCCTCCTTCCCAAATGCGCCTCCATCGCGCCCTCTCCAAATGCGCCCTGGTGCTGGCGTCTCCCCATGCTGCGAGGAGCGAGGGCTGGAGCCTGCCTGCACCCTGAGCACCTCAGGGAGCCTCCTGCCCTGTCCCGGGGCACCCAAGCACCCACCCGGCAGCCCCACGGCACGCACCGAGGGACGAGCTGCGCCCCAGGGAGGCACCCCACGTGGAGCAACTTGTCCCCACTTCCTGGGAGCTCAGGGTTCAACCAGGAGCCGACCCAGCAGCGTACAGGGCAGCAGGGTGCCAGCACTCCCCTGTCCCCAAGCCGCCTCCTCCCTGCCCCTCTCACCAGAGAGGATCAGAGCCCAGAGCCGAATGGGACCCAAAAACTCCTCCACAAGCTCAGGCTGGGACTTGGCACTGCAGCAAGTGCTCAAACCAAAGGCTCGGAGGCAACAGGACAACGACAAGATTCCTACAAGCATCTGGAGGTGGCTGGCCCCGTTACGGGTCCCCCTGCCCCACCGAGGGACCCAGGACACGGTGTTCCCTCTGGGATGGCTCAGCAGCACCAATCCTGCACCGCCAGCTCTTCCCACAAAGAGTTTGTGTTTTTCTTCCCACTTTGTGTTTTCCTTCTCCACCCCTCAGTGCTCAGGTCCCGGCGCTGCCCACCAGGACGTGCAGCTTGCCCAGCCCAGCCCCGGGGGACCAAACCAGAGGTGAAGCCCACCCACGCTAGCAGCGGGTCAAACACCCCCAAAAAAAGACTATTTGCCCCAAATTGCTTATAGCCTGAGCCAGGGAAAGCTCTGCCTGCAGGTATTGTGCATGGCTCGGGGTTGGTGGCTGGGCTCCAGGCACTCTGCTGCCTGCTCGGGGATGCAGGTAAGCGGGCAGGTAGGTGGGCTCCTTCCAGGTGACTGCTGTCAGCCAGAGGCGAGCGTGAGATTTACGACAAAATGCTCAGCAGATGGAAATCCCTGGGGATTCGCCCAGCGCCACGACCCAGGCGTGCCCGCAGCGGCACCACCAGAGCAGGGAACCCCCCACAGCTCCACGGGCTGCTGGGACGGCTGCTGGGCATCGCCCCCTGCTGAAAATTGGGTGACAAAAACCACCACCGACCACCTCATCCCACCCACCACCGCATCCCACACACCCTCCCCGGACAGCACCCCAGCCACGAGCCCTGCGCGCCCCCACGCCCCCCCGGCGCTCACCTTTGCCCAGGTACACCATGCCGTACTCGCGGCCCTGCGGGGTCTTGTACTCCACGGTGAAGCACACCTCCTTCCCAATTAACTTCTTCCGCAGGAATTCACGGGCTGGGAACCCCCAGGGCTGGAAGGAAAGGAAGGAGAGCAGCGGACATCAGCTCCCCCGTGGGGTGCCCGGCGCTGGCACACGCTGAGGTGCCCATGGAGAGGGTGCGGAGCTGGCACGGCTCATCCGTGGCTGTGCCCAGCACGTCCCTGTGTCCCCATCCCTCTGTCCCTGTCCCTCCATCCCCATCTCTCCATCCCCATCCTTTCATCCTTCCTGCACCGGAGGCACGAGCGCGACTCACGGCAGCGCCGGGGCGAGCTCAGCCCCACTCCGGCGCAGCAGCGGGTGGGTGGAGAAAGTGGTCCGGAGGAGAGAACATGACGTGCTAATAAACAATTAGCAAAAACTGACAGGCGTAATTTTTTAAAAGAGTGACATTTAACGGCTGAAGCAGTGTTTAGAAGACAAACTCCCCAGGGAGAGCAATTAGCTGAGCGCTCCGCGCCACCCCCGGGGCTGGGAGGATGGGTGGCCCCAGGCTCAGCTCTCTGCTACCCAACCCTGCTTCTTCCATGCTCTGCGCCAAGCCAGCGGCACGGGCGGCCCCTGCTGCACCCCAAAAATGCAGCATCACCTCCAGGTCCTGTCCCCACGCCTTCGGAGGAGCTGCCAGTGCCAGCACTGCCTGCGACCAGGTCCCCGGAGTCCCCGCTCAGCCCCAGCCGGAGCTCACCGAGCCCCACGGGGGGCTGAAGCCTGATCCCGATCCCCGCTCTGATTAACGCTCCTCCACCCACAGCTAACGAGGTGCCTGCTCCAGACACGCAGAGGGTGCAGGGCCCTCGTGCAGACCCCTTCTCTTGGAGCCCTGAGGCTGAAGATGAGCGAGGAGGATTTCCACAGGGCGTAAGGCGAAGCTCTTCGCACCGCCGTCACCAAAGCGCACCGGGAGGAGAGATCTGCGCAAAACCCACGGGTCTCCGGGGCACGAATTCACCCCCAGCAGCTCCCCCTGCTCCACCTCCTCCCCGACCACGAGCGAGAGACCCCAGCACCGCGTCCCCAGGTCCCCGGGCACACCGCAGGGACGCGCGCCGGGGGGCACCCACCTCATCCGGGGTGTCCTTGGCGTCCGGCTGCCCGGCGGCGGCGCGGCGCGCGAGGCTGCCGGCACGGATGTTGCTGAGGTTGATCTGCCTCTCGGGAGGGGGCCCGCCACGGGGCTGCCCACGGACGATGATGGCACAACCCGAAAGCACCTGCGGGGAGGCACAGGGTGAGCGGGGACCACCACGAGACGCCCGGACCCCCACCCATGCACCAAGCTGAGCCCACGCCATTGCGCACTGAGTTACCAGAACGTGTCCTGGGCACGCCGAACATCCCAGCCCCCCCTCACCACCCAGCACCACCACTCCTGGGGCATTTTCAGCGCGGGAAGGATGCAGGAGATGGGATTTTTATTCCCAGCCCTGGTCACGTCCCCCTGGGGGGCTGTTTCTGCCCAGAGCTCGGAGCCAGGAGCCCCACGTGTGCTCGCTGTGTTCCCATCCTGTCCCATCCGTCCCTCCGTGCTCCAGCAGCCCCATCGCCTCCCGCTGCCACTCGGGAGAATTTGGGAGGGCGCAGGGGCAGCAGGGCACGGCTCTGCCTCCTCCAGGGTGCTGGGCACAGCAGAGGCACCCAGGGGACATGCTGGGGGACCCTCAGTGGCACCGGACCTGCCCAACCGCTGGAGGTGGCAACCCACATCTCTTGGTCCCACCCTGACCCCAGCAGACCCCCCCCCAGCCGGGTTTGGAGACCCCCCAGCCCCTGGTCCCAGTGCCAGGTCCCAGCCCCATCCTCATGCAGCTCCCTGGGGGTCCGAGGGCCATAGGGAACCCCCCCCTCAGAGCTGCCCCCTCCCCAGACCGAGCAGCCCCAGCTCCCGCAGCCTCTCCTCGCAGCAGGGGGGGGGCTCCAGGTCCTGCAGCACCCCGGGGGCCCTGTGCTGGGCTCCCCCCAGCCTCCCCAGTCCCCTCTCATACTGGGGGCACACACGGGGCCCAGTTCCCCAGCACAGCCCAGGACGTTCACCTCTCACACGGCAACGGCTCAGGGACCCCCACCGGGACCCCCAGCACCAACCCCCCGTGCACACCACGAGCCGCTGGGCTCCGTGCTGCCGCCCACCACCCCCGGGGCCGTTCAGCCACCCTCTGACCCCCCCGGTGCCCAGCCCCGTGCAGGCACAACCCTCCGGGGTGGCCACCCTCGGCCCCAAGCCGTGATTTTTGGAAGAGGTCCCGGGACCCTCTCCAAAACCCGGCCCCGTGACGGTCACCAGCAAAAATAAATTTAAAAAATAAGGTTTTTTAACAGATTTGTCTGCACGTGGCCACGAGCTTTCCGTTCACCGGTGGTGGCCCCGCTCCGTGCCAGCCCCGGGCACGTGCCGGGGATCCTCCTGCTCCCGGTTCCAGCCCGTGCTGGGTGCCACCCGCAGGCAGCCCCGGGGTTGGGTTTCGGCAGGCGCTGGCTCCCTGCCCGCCTGCAGCCCTCGTCCGGCCGCCGAGCCAGGGCCGGGCGCTGCAGGGCTCGGAGGTTTCGTTGGGGTAATTAACCCCGAGCTTTAATTTATAGGGTGCGGGGAGGGAGCTGGGTGCTGGAACCGTTTGTCCCGTTACCGTCACCCCGGGGTCCGGGTTTTTGGCCACCTTTGCACCCCCAGCACCCTCACGGGGCAGGAGGGGCTCGGAAATTCTGCAAAAACAGGGAAATGGTGAGAAAAGGACGGGCCCCACGGGACGGGGAGCAGCGGTGGCAACGGGGACGGGGCCACCCGGTGTCCCCGGTGCCCACGTGTGGCACCCGCCCCGGCCCCGCTGCCCCCACGTGCGCACGTCCCATGGGTGGCACGAGGCCAGGAGGAACCGGGCGCTTTTTGGGGGGGTCCCCGGTGCCCCCCAAGGAACCGGGCGATGCCACCGGGACCTGGCAGCGCCCCCCGAGCTGCCGGACCCCCGGGGGCAGCCCCCGGCCCGTGCCCCCAGCCCACGTTCCCCGGTTTCCCCCGGAGCCCCCCGGCCCGGTGCGACCCCGGTAGAGGTGGGGGGGGCTCCGGGGCTGTCCCAGCACCGTCCCCGGGCCGATTCCCAACCCCCCCCCGGCAGGTTTCGGTTCCGGGCCACGCCGCACCGGAATGGGGGGGGGGCAACCGGGGCCCGGCTCCGGGATTAGGACTGTGCAGCGCCCCCGAGCCCCGTCCGGTACAACCGGGGGGGGCGGCACCGCGACCCCACAGCCCACCCCAGACCCCCAAAACCGGGGGTGACGGCGGGGGCCGGGGCAGCCCCCCCGGTGCCGGTACCCCCGGGAAGCAGGTCCCGGTAAAGGGGGGGGGAACCGGGACCAAGCCCCAACCCCCCCCCCAATCCCGGTTCACAACCGGAGAGCACCGGATGGGGATGAACCGGGGGGGGGCTGGGGAGCACCGGGGGGGCAGCGAACGGGCCCGGTGCGATCCCGGTACCGGTGCCGGTTCCCGGCCCTTACCATCTTAACGATGCCGCGCTGCACGGTGAGGGGGGGCGCGGGGCCGCCCTGCCCGGGGGCCGCCCCGGAGGCCATGGCGGGGGCGCGGCGGCGGCGGCGGCGGGAGCGCGGCGGAGGGAGCGCGGAAGGGACCCGCGGGGCGGGGCCAAGGGGGCGTGGCCTCTTTCGCGCCGCCGCGCCCCGCCCCGCGCCACCGCCGCCGCGCCGGCCAATGGGAGGCGAGCCCCGCCGTAAGCCCCGCCCCTCCCCGCCGCGCGCCGGCCAATGGCGGGAGAGCGGAGCCGGCGCGCCGGGCGGAGAGGTTGCCGCGCGGGTGACGTCACCGCGAGGCCACGCCCCTAAAGCCACGCCCCCTCCCCGCAGCCCCGCGGAGGGGGGCGGGACTTCCGGGGCACGCGGCGCCAGGGACACGTCGGCAAAGGGGGGCCCCGCGCTCCCACGTGGCCTCCGCCGCGCCGGGGGCGGGGCTTCGCCGGGACACGCCCCCTCGTTTGTGACGTCACCGCCGCGCCCCGGCGGCGCGCCGGCGGGAAGGGAACGGGACGGGGGAGACGGGGGGGGGCGGGGGGAGGGGGCTGGGACCACCGGGGGGGGCTCGGGGCCGGCGGGGGGGTCCCTGTGGTGCCCCCCCCGTTCCGTACCCCCACCCCCGGGGGTCCCGGTGCGGGGGGTGCCCCCGGTGACAGACCCCCCGGGACCCCCTGGGACCCCCCTGACCCCCCCCGAGCCCCCACGGGACCCCCCCGAGCCCTCCCCAGCCCCTCCATGGGATCCCCCCGAGCTCCCCCCAGCCCCCCCGGGACCCCCCGGACCCTCCCCGAGCCCCCCCGGACCCCACTCGGATCCCCCCCCGGGACCCCCCGGACTCCCCCCGGGCCCCCCCAGCCCCTCTGGGACCCCCCAGCCCCCATCCGCCGCCTCCCGGTTGTTGGGGGTCGGGGAACGGGACCCCCGCACCCCCCCCGGAGCCCCCTCCCCACCGGCGGGGGGCACCGGGGCCGTGCAGGGGGGGCCTTGCCCGGTGGCTTCGTCCCCCCCCTGCCCCGTCCTGAGCCCCGGGGGGGGGGGGTGCTCCGGGCGCTGCTCCCAGTCCCAGCTGGGACGGTGCCGTTTGGGGGTGGCTGGAAACCGGCGTCCTCGTGCTCGTGGTGGGCGCACCGAGCCCCCGGGGCACGTGGAGGTGCGCTGTGTGCATCGCTCCCAGGGCACGCAGAGACCCCAATCACACGCAGACCCCAATCATGCACTGACCCCAAACACACACAGACCCCAGGCACAGAGAGACCCCAGGACACACAGTGATCCCAGGGCACGCACAGACCCCAATCACACAGACCCCAATCACACAGACCCCAATCATGCACTGACCCCAATCACACAGATCCCAGAACGCACAGACCCCAGATCACAGACCCCAATCACACAAAGACCCCAATCATGCAAGAAACCCCAGGCACACACAGACCCCAATCACACACAGACCCCAATCATGCACTGACCCCAATCACACACAGACCCCAGATCACAGACCCCAGGCACACACAGACCCCAATCACACAGACCCCAATCACACAGACCCCAGATCACAGACCCCAGGCACACACAGACCCCAGGCACAGAGAGACCCCAATCACACACAGACCCCAGATCACAGACCCCAATCACGCACTGACCCCAGTCACACACAGACCCCAATCATACACAGACCCCAGGCACACACTGACCCCAATCACACACAGACCCCAATCACACAGACCCCAATCATACACAGACCCCAATCACACACAGACCCCAGATCACAGACCCCAATCACACACAGACCCCAATCACACAGACCCCAATCATACACAGACCCCAGGCACACACTGACCCCAATCACACACAGACCCCAATCACACAGACCCCAATCATACACAGACCCCAATCATACACAGACCCCAGGCACACACTGACCCCAATCACACAGACCCCAATCATACACAGACCCCAATCACACACAGACCCCAATCACACACAGACCCCAGATCACAGACCCCAATCACACACAGACCCCAATCACACAGACCCCAATCATACACAGACCCCAATCACACAGACCCCAATCACACACAGACCCCAATCACACAGACCCCAGATCACAGACCCCAATCACACACAGACCCCAGGCACACACAGACCCCAATCACACAGACCCCAATCACACAGACCCCAATCACACACAGACCCCAGGCACAGAGAGACCCCAATCACACACAGACCCCAATCACACAGACCCCAATCACGCACTGACCCCAGTCACACACAGACCCCAATCACACACAGACCCCAATCACACAGACCCCAATCACACACAGACCCCAATCACACAGACCCCAATCACACACAAACCCCAATCACACACAGACCCCAATCACACACAGACCCCAATCACACAGACCCCAATCACACACAAACCCCAATCACACAGACCCCAATCACACACAGACCCCAATCACACAAAGACCCCAATCATGCAAGAAACCCCAGGCACACACAGACCCCAATCACACACAGACCCCAATCATGCACTGACCCCAATCACACACAGACCCCAGATCACAGCCCCCAGTCACGTACAGACCCCAGGATACACAGCAATCCCAGGGCACACACAGACCCCAATCATGCACAGAACCCCAATCACACACAGACCCCAGAACGCACAGACCCCAGATCACACACAGACCCCAGGCACAGAGAGACCCCAGGACACACAGTGATCCCAGGGTACGCACAGACCCCAGGCACACACAGACCCCAATCATGCACTGACCCCAATCACACACAGACCCCAATCACACACAGACCCCAATCACACAGACCCCAATCACACAGACCCCAATCACACACAGACCCCAGATCACAGACCCCAATCACACAGACCCCAATCACACAGACCCCAATCTCTCCCAGCCCCATGCAGCCCCCAACACCAACCCATCCCACCCCACCTCACACCCCACCCACTCCCCAAACCCCACGAGCGTGCACAGCACAGCCAGGTCCCCATGGGGCACCGGGCACGCTGCGCCCTCGGGACAGACCAGACCCCGCCGGTGTCCTCCATCCACCCCGGGTGGCGTTTGGCAGCCTGGCCGCTGACGGCTGCTCCCAACGGGGGGGGCTCGGCCCCTTCCCGGTGGTCCCGGTGGTCCCGGTGCTGTGCCCTACCCAAAATCTGGGGTCCCTGGGGCAGGCTGGTGCCCCGCCGCACGGTGCCCGCCCGTCGCTGCCCTCGGCGGGGTTTCATTTCCTCGCTCCCGTCCCGTTTGGCGGTGCTTGATGGATGTGTTTGTTTTCTCCCCCTTTTTTCCTTTTTAATATTTCGTGCCGTGATTCACGAGCGCCAGGATGAGCGATGGCGTGTGAAGGGCAGGAAATCATCCCCCTGCCCGCCAGCCCGGCACGGCCGCTCCCATACTGGGATTTATGGGGTGAGTGTGGCCAGCCTCCCTGTGCTGCCTTCCCACAGCCCTGTCCCACAGCCCCAAACCCCATCCCACAGCCCCAAACCCCTATCCCACAGCCCTGAGCCCCATCCCACAGCCCCAGACCCCATCCACAGCCCCAAACCCCTTCCCACAGCTCCAAGCCCTGTTCCGCAACCCCAAGCCCCATCCCAATCCCAAACCCTATCCCAGTCCCAAGCCCCATCCCACAGCCCCAAGCCTGGTCCCACAGCCCCAAGCCCTGTCCCGAGCCAGTCCCACAGCCCTGAGCCCCTTCCCACAGCCCCAACCCCTGTCCCACAGCCTGGAGCCCCATGCCACAACCTGGAACCCCATCCCACAGCCCTAAGCCCCATCCCACAGCTCCAACCCTGTCCCGCAACCCCAAGCCCCATCCCAATCCCAAACCCCATCCCAGTCCCAAACCCCATCCCACAGCCCCAAACCCCTGTCCCACAGCCCTGAGCCCCATCCCAGTCCCAAGCTCCATCCCACAGCCTTGAGCCCCTTCCCACAGCTCCAAGCCCCAATCCCTGTCCCACATCCTGGAGCCCCATTCCACAACCTGGAACCCCATCCCACAGCCCTAAACCCCATCCCACAGCCCCAGTCCCTGTCCCACAGCCCCAACCCCAGTCCCATAGCCCCAAGCCTGGTCCCACAGCCCCAAACCCCATTCCACAGCCCCAAGCCCCATCCCACAGCCCCAATCCCAGTCCCACAGCCGAGTCCCCTGGCACAACCCCACACCAGCCCCCACTGCGGCTCCCCCCCCAGCCCAAGGGCTGCCAGTTTCAGCCAGAACCTTTAATAATCGCCTTTTTTGACTGAAGAAAGAAAGTCGGGGTGTAGGTGGGAGCCCTTTGATGAAATAGGTTCCCTCGGCTGCTGACTCACCCGGGCTTTTAACTCCGAAGCGCGCTCCCCGTAGGAGAAAACCACCCCCCCATGAGGAGTGGGAGCCACCCCCTTGGGAGCGCCCCAAAAGACCCCGAGCAGCCCCCGCAGGCAGAGGAGCCCCAAGGAGGCAGGGACTGGCTTGTGGGGGCACGGAGCTGACCCCCCTCCGCCGTGCGCACCCCCCGTGCCCAGAAGGATGGGGATGGTGCAGACGTATGGGGCTGGGGGCACGGGGCAGGCGCTCCCCACGAAGCCCCCGGGGGCTGCAGCGACCTCGGTGAGGTGTGAGGGGGTGTGAAATGCGCCCATGGGGCGAGGCACGGCCCCGTGGAGGAGGAGGAGGAGGCGAAGGCTGCCCTGCTCTCGGCTCCATGGGGGTGTCCGTGCCCCCGGCAGTGCCGCAGGACCCCGCGCTGCACCAGGACCACCCAGAATCCTGAACCCTGAGCCAAATATTTCAGGACCGCTCGGTCCTGTTGAAATGATAAAAAGGGCCAAGCCGTGGTGTCGAGGCTGGGGAACCAGAGCCAGGGGACAGGGAAAGCCACCGCTGGGTGCCCAAAATCCTGAACACCCTGCTCTCCTTTCTGCAGGGCAGGTAAGCAATTCCCAGAAGTGCTCCAAGAGCCAGCCCTGGTCTCACCACCCCAAACAGCTCCAAGACCTCCCCGCACCCATGGGTGCAGGCAGGGGGGGACAACACCTGAACCCCTCTGAGCAGGGGGAGGCAGAAACGCTCTGCCCCCTGCCCCCTGCCCCTGCCCCCTGCT